AAGTTTGACTGGCAGATCGTGGCACCGCCTCAGACTTTGCTTTCAGGAGCAGTTCTGGACTACGCACTGGTACAAAAGCAGTTGGCTGGTTGCATGTCCGTGCAAACAGACTGGGCAGTTCCCTGGCGCCCACATGCCCTGGTCACTCTGACCTTTGAGCTCGACGCGGCCATTCGCGTCTACAGGCAACCATGTCCGTTTCCACCCATACCACGCACACCGGACATTGCTTCCGGCCATGGGGCACTTACACTTCACAAGCCACGGCAATCCAGCTCTATGACATCGAACCCAACAAAGAAGCACGGTCACTGGCAGACTGGGTGTCCATCACCGAGCAATATTTACTCCAAGAGCACTCATGGCAACCACAGGGCAGGGGCTATTGGGTACAGGCTGCACACAAACCACTAGCCAAACCGCCTGCCGGTCCCCTTTGTGGCGCAGAGGCAAACCTGCCTATTGGGAGCAACCCAAGGCCAGACTCCAATTGGCCCTGCAAACACCACCCAGTCACAACAAGCCCATTAAAGGGTTCCTCCGAGCAGCACTTGATGCACCAAAACAATGGGTTGGACCACCCACAGCCCATACCTTCTTCGACATCCTGCATCACTGGAAGCAGTATCGCGACGACCGATCTGCCGAGCTGTTGATGCACACCATACAACATCAAATCACAGAAGCCCAACTGCAGGCACAAGATGAAGCTGCCTTGCAGTGCGAAGGCAAGGGCCTCTGGGGCCCTTTTCGATGTCTCAAAGCCTCCGAACTGGCCTGGCAGTGGCCGTACAGACAACTTGAAGTCCAACAAAGAATGCCTCAGAGAATGCAAGACTGGGCCAAGCAAGCTCTGGCACATCAGGGACACCAGAGATCCTGTACCACTTCCCAATGCCGACCAACTGCTGCAGGCATCACCAATCAAGAAAAGCCCTGGCTTGAGAACCTGTTTCCCCACTCAGCTCTCCACTAGCACGGCCACACCAGTGAGAGCCACGGGCAGCCAGCCAGAGACCAGCACAAACGAAGAGGACGCCACTACCAGTACTTTGCGGCCTAGAGCACTCTTCACGGGGATCGATAGACCCATCTCCGACAGAGCAGGGCAAAACGACTTGCAGACGCCACCAGATGAGGCCATGAACACCAACCCAAGTCTGGAGGATGCCACAGCTGAAGCGCCCTACGAGGTCGACTACTTCTAGACCTGCGGCCGGCGGCCTTCACGGATCAAAACGATCCCAGCACTCGTGCAGCAAAAGAACCTCCCTTTAAAGAATACATGCATACATACATACATACATACATCTGGAATGGGGATGGAATGTCCATGACTTACTACACTGGACCAGACCGGCAACCGACCTCATGCTAGCTGCTGAAGTGCACATCACGGACCAATGGTGGCAGATCGAGCACCTCCTGTACACTGAGGCACAACACCAGCGCACAAACCGATTTGCCCGGCGACCACACCATCAACACCTGCTCACAGGGCTCGACTGGCACACCTACCGCAGCCTCAAACCCAAGCTTCCAGAACAACAATCGAGGCACATGCAAACCTGGGTTCAGGGAGCACTCCATTTCCGAGATGCACAAGGAACCAAACAATGTCCCATTTGTCACGTTCCTGCTACGGCAAAGCATGTGCTATGGCTGTGCAAATGGCACAGAACTCAGCAACACAAGCCATTCCCACCAGAATGGCTTGAGCGCATCACCAATCCAGAAGAAGAAGCCTTGTGGTCCAAAGGCTGGATACCACTTGAACCCCAAGAGCATTTGCAGCAGGACCATCCCTACCAAGGCCATGGAGTTTGGAAAGAGCTGCAACCCATCGGCCCAGACCAGTATGCCGGCTTTGCCTTCACACTAGATGCCACTCCCAATCACTACGACACCAGAAGCCAGATCTGGGTTTTCGGCCTTTGCCTCACCCAAACGTCGGGGCAACTGAAGCGCCTCGGCGCCATCACAGGGGCGGCCAGTGGACAGCAAACCAAAGGCAGGGCACTGTTTGCAGGCCTAGTGGCTTTGGCAAAACACACCACAACACCAGCCAAAGTGATTGCGCAGCTCAGCACAGTTTGGGAAGCCTGGCAAAAACCACCCCACAGGCATCCTTACCCCGACCTGCTCGCAGAGGTCACAGACCAGGACCGCCACCGCATCACCGTCCTGTACATTAGCAAGAACACCAGAACTCCGGATGCCCCTGGAAACGAGCCACAACTCCGCAGGCGTCAGCGAGATGCAGCATTGACTGCATGGGAGCGGGCTGATGCACTCCATGACCGACGCCAAACAAACTGGCAGGCAACACTTGACAGGGACCACAAGGCCATCTACCTCCAGGCAGCACAACGGCTTGAGAAGATTTTCCAGGACAAACAGCACTACCTCCACACCAAAGCTGACCGGCAACCTGGAAAACACACCAAACAGCGGAAAAAAGACCTCATCCAGCAGTGCACCAAGCCCTGGCAGGAACCACACCACCGATGGGCCCCACAGCGCAGTGGATATGCCTGCACCGCCTGCGGTACACGCATGCACCAGGGTCTCACGGCCCAACAACTTGAAGACCGCTTGGCTGAAACATGCACCCAACAGCTTGCCGAAAGTGCATGTCCAGACCCAGGGCAGGAGGCTCCCAAGCCAACAAAGAAGCTGACCCGAGTACAGGTCATCAAGCCCAGGTCAACACGGCCCCAGCACCAAACCAGCACCATTTTGAGGAAACCAAAGGATACCTCAAATGCACCAAGTGTGGCACCAGCGTTCACAAAAGGGTCAATGAACAGGCCTTCAATGACTACATCCAGGGACCATGCCTGGATTGCCCATTCGATGGCGCGCACAATGGCCATCCCAGTCACCACCTTTCGCAAAAAGGCCAGAAGATCAGCTGCATCCTTTGTGGCCTGCAGCTGCATCTTGACAGCAATCGGCGCATCATCACCTCAGCCAACTTCCTCAAAGAATGTCGAGGAGCCGGCACCAAGGGTTCACCGCCTATCCACACCTTCTTCAAGCCTACTCCACTGACGCTTGCTGAAGGGGAGAAGGCTGGATCTCAACCGGACACGGCCACGCCAATGTCCACTCCTGGACCCAGGCCGAAATGGCTGCATTTCTTCACGCCACTCACGGTCAGAGAAGACAATGCAGACAAGCCACAGGCCATGATACCCAGCCAACAAGACGAAGAACAGAGCATTCGCAGAACACCTGTCCAGCCAATGACTGGGCCACCACAAGGCCAGCATGCGGACAGCTCGGAGGACCCCGAAGAAGAAAGCCAAACCAATGACGAGGAGATCACTGGCAGCTTCGAGGTTGACTACTTCTAGCAGCGCTGCTAGTTGGCCAAAACGGCCTGTGACCTGCAGAGGCAAAAGAGCCCCTCTAGGAGAAAAAATACATACATACATTAATACATTACTACATTACTACATTACATTACATTAATACATTACATTACATTACATTACATACATACATACATTGTATATTGACTGGCACTGGCAGATCTAATGCAGTGTGCAGTTTTTACTGCGCTGCTCCCACAAAAGTACTCTTTGCCAACACAAAATTATCCTAGCCGAGGGCGGAGTTTCAACTTGTTTGCTGTGGACATTGCCAAGCGCACCTTAGCTGCCACGTGGGCAAAACCATCATCTAAAGCGGCTCCTACATTTGCCAAATTCAACACCCAATCTGGGAGCGGTCCCACCCCGAGCAACCGGCAAAACTGGTCGCAAAAGTGGCAACAGTTTCGACGGAGAAGGTCATAGCCATTCATCGGCCAATCTGCAGAAATGTCGCACAGAACCCGCAGCACTTCAATGTACGACAAGGTAGTAGTCCCCAAGGCAATGCTTTCCCGAAATGTGTGCTGTTGGCACATCTGAGGTGAACAGCTCCAAATGCCGCTTTCAAAACCATCGTCTTCGTTGGCATGCTTGCCGCCCAGGCCGCCAAAGCTCCATTCCTGATCAAAAAGTTGAACGGCTGCATGAAATGCACCACCACCAAATGGTTTCAAGACGACATTCAGCTTGTGAATTGCCTTGCTGTCGCCCAAATCGTAGAGATTCAAAAAGACTGTCTCAGCGAAAGTTTGGCATTGCTGAGCATCATCAATAAGTAGCCTCTCACTCCGCACTAGAGAGACTCTTGCCAACTCGTCTGCAGTCCATGTCTGACAGTTCCCCTCTCCATGTATTGAACCCCTTTTATTGAGGCTGGCATGTTCAGCAGCACCTTCGCAAATGGAGCCTTGGTTGAAGTCCATAACGTTCAGCGGAACACAATGGGCTTCCTTTGGATACTGCCTCCTGGATATGTACGATGACTTCAGAGCACTCTCGCTGGAAGCGGGCGAAGCGTCAGCCCGGGGAGCTGCGGCCACCCAACCATTAGCAGAAGCAAATGTTGAGTCACTGCAAACCCTCTCACTGGCAAAAGCAGGTTCAGGTTTTCGATCTGCTCGCCGTGGAATGTACTTGGATTTCAACTGGCGCTCGTCGCCAAATTGATCTGCCATCGAAGGCCATGAAACTGAAGCACAGTTTGATGAAACCACCAAAAAACAGTTTGTCTTCTGCTGTTTTTGTACGAGTGGTTGGGTCTGCCTGAACATGCTACGAGTTTCACTGTGGTCAGGTGCATTTGAAGATAAACTTATATAAGAGAGAAACTTGCTACCTGCACGTGCGTATGTAGGTATGCAGATATGTCAAGTGTTGCGATGCGAAATCATAACCACAGTAATAGCAGCAGCAGGAGGAGGAGCAGGAGCAGGAGCTACCTGGCCTGTACCCGTCAAGAATTTCCCTGTGGTGTGGGAAGGACAAGCACGCCGCAGGTGCCAAGGTTGTTCTCACACTTGGGACGTGCATCAGGTCCTGTCTACACAAAAATACATGAACCATGTCTGTGGGAAGGGTGGGCTGAGTCTGCGGTGGCACTCGGGGGCAGCCGCACTCCTCTTTGATTGTCATCTTGCGCCGCTAGCTCTTATGGTCGCATTGGGTTCCCAATGCCTGTGTGGGCCCCGCGGCCATGTGGGCGCAGTGTTGAGCCAGCACAGCAACTTTAGCAGCCACTCTTGAATTATGAAAGTTTGCAGAAAATTCAAAAGCATACCAAATAAACCACCATCATCTACCCATCCAGTGCACTTTATATGCACTGTGGGTGTGTGCGCGGCAACAGCGTCATGGAAGACTGGCAAAAACGTCCACATCACTCTGGAGGTGTCCATCTGCGAAGACGCAGCTTTCGGATGGTGTCCTGGGCGCTCTAAATTTAAACAACAGTCGTTAACCGTTAACCTTGAAACAGGACAACAAAGGACCAAAAGCCAAATTGTGCTCCTTGGCTGCATCTAAGTCCTTCCGCGACAGCGCCCTGCCTTCCTGCATCAGAAACAAACGTGTCATTATATACGTTCCACTAGACACGTTCCACAGACTCGCAAAAAGAAAACCTAGACCACAGGCCGGCCCGAAAGCATAGCCGGGGGGAGATGACAAAAGGCAACGACGACGATGACGATTGAAGATGATGTTGGTAATGATGCTGAGGAGGAGGAGGTGGAGGATGATGATGGTGGCGGTGATCATAGTGATGAGGACCTCATCGATGCTGATACCAAGCTTTGTGGACATCACCAACATGTTTTCCTTCCCCCAGTGGCATGGAACAGCAACATCACAGACGTAATTTGGCCCGCCACAGATTAGAATCTAGAAACAATGTCACATTAAGCACCGTAGACCCCGTAGACACCGCCAATCACTCCGCTCCCTCAGCGGCATCACAGACGTAATTTGGCCACCCCGTGCACCACAGTATATACAACAATATAACACCAAGCCTCGCCGACGCCGCCAATCATCCCGCTCCCCAGCGGCAAGCCGAATTTACACGAATTTACACCAACACGGTTTCCTTCCCCCTGTGGCACGGATTCACGCAAACGCACTTTCCACCGAGGCCGCGCAAAGCTGCATGGCACAGCAACATTACAGATGTAATTTGGCCACAAGGTGCACCACAGACTAGATACAACAGCTTTAAGCGTCGTGGGCGCCAACGATCCCGAACAACGTGCTTTCCTTCCCCCAATGGCACGGACTCACCGCACGGCGCAGCGATATCACAAACGTACTCGTAGCTTGGACACACGCACGCCGCACTGCATTTGCGCTGCTGCGCTACAAAGCTGCCAGCTGCCACTTCTGAGGCCACAGCTGGTAGATTCTTCCCGCACACATTTGCACTACCAAGTCGCCAGTTCTGATGAGGCCACAGCTCCCAGAACCCGCTTCCTTGAGGCCAGCTGCCAGAAGCCGCTACATTTGTACTACCAACTAGCCAATTCTCAAGCTTGCACTACATTTCTACCGGCAAGTGACCAGTTCTCAGGCCACAGTTCTCAAGCCACCTCCCACAAGCTGCTTCCCGCACTACATCTGCACTAGCAAGTGGCCACTACGCTTGCACTACCACTACCAGGTGACCTCCACCTTCATTTTCGACGGCAGTACACACTTTGGCCACCTCCACCTGGGAATGCGCAGTTGCAGAAATAAATGAAACCAGCCACTGTGACACCTTTTGGCTGGAAAGCCTTGTTTCTGCAGGTTTTATGTTTTCTTGGGCAATGTTATTTGGGATGCGCTTTGCCCTGAATGAAAGCTTGGTCAGTGGACCACTCTCGAGACAGTATCCGTCCAAGGGAACCCCACTGCAATTGCACTTCGTGTCCTGCTCCTTAAAGCTATACTGGAGGGATGGATCTGATAAAAAATCTATAGATCCAAGACTTGAGCCACCTGAACCTGAACAAAAACGCATATTTTTATTTTATACATATTCGCATTATAAGTTTGCACATGTACTGTGGCATGTGTGCACGTGTACAAAACACAGCGTGGCGTTTGTTGGTTTCGTTTGCCGCTGACGCCGCTTCCTTTCTCTCACGGGTCAGCGCGGGCGTTTCGGTTTGGGACCGTGCCTCTCTGCTGGCTCAGAACTCAGAGGTCGTTTCTGACCATGGTTCGGGAGGTTCAGTCGTACTGCCACCAGGTATTTCCTGATCGTTTGCTCATGAACCCTTCGAATTGAACATGTCCTAGACATGCCCGAAGCCCTCCCCACCAGATCTTCATCTAGCTGGCCTGAAAATGCCAGAGGGTTGATGCAAAAGCTTCGATTCTTTGAATCGGAAGTGGCCTCCAGGTTCATGACGATATGGCAAAATAAGTGAAACTTTGGTATAAGTTTAAAGCGGGTCTTTGAAAGCGAGTGCGCTATGCTAGCGGCCCTTAAATACTGTGACAGCAATTGCCGCCCACATGCTGCCACACGTTGTGTCAGGGACTGGGGCATGAACAGGTCAGCACTGTACAGCAACCTCAAAAAGTTGTTGCCTGCGGACAGAGCCATGTAAATGCTCTCCACATAGTCGCTGTGCTCTGACTCCAGGGTTTGGTGGAACTTGTGCTCTAAATACTTGCAAACAGCTGTCGTGTCCGCACCTTTGAACCATCCCCTGAGTGGTTTATGGTGCGTCGAAACCACAGCAAACAAAACAGTTTATAATTACATAGGTATATGTTCATATAATATGCCTCGCTTCGTATAGATTCTATTTCAACATAAATCGAATTTCCGGTGGGAAATCAAAAATGATTGGAACAAGACCTAGGTGACCCCGTCGGAAAGTCAGAGTCGGCATCGAAATGCAAAATGGTTCTGGTCAAGTCGTTGACATGTAGCTGAACCTTGTTGTGGCTGCACCACGTTTTCAACTGTACATGTATCTGGTGGAGACGCACAGGAATGTCTCCACCGCAACCGTCCAGGTTCAGGTCTGTGAGAACCACCTGCGAATTGGTCGGAGAACCCTACCAAAAAACAAAAAACATGCCTCCATCAAAGCGTCCATCAAAGCACAAAAAACAAAAATCTTGCCTTAACAGTTGGTCATCGAAGGAACCAAGCCAGAGCCAGCAAGCTCTGCCAGCACACCTTTGTGCAAGGTGTGAAAGATATCCGGGCGATACCGCCAAGTCTTACCACAAATATCATCAGACTTGCACAATCTCGTAGTTAAGGGCGACTCCCGACTCCATGGTGGGGTGGGCCGCAATAATGAGTCATCGCACTTCCAAGATCCATCAGGGTTGCTCCAGTCAGCGTACTGTGCCGTACCGGCTAGGCATAAATGACACAAACCCTTTGATCTTTGCGGGGCAGCGATACTTTGGTGATGTGACCGCACCAAAAAACCTACCTTCTTCAACCAAGGCCAATCGCCTTTTGCAAATACAAAAGTCGGGTACAGCCTCACCATTTTCCCATACCCAGAATGCCAAACTTCGATGCCATCATTGTAGAGCTGTAGGCAATGGTCCGAAAACACTTCCAAAAGGGACTCGAAGACTTTCGGCGATCGGCTGTACATGTTTGATTTCATGACAGTGTACAAAAATCTTGTGACTGAGCTGTTGCCCATCATGTTTACACCGAGGTCGGTCGCATGTTGCGTGAAGGCCGTCCCGAATCCGATCACAGGTTGAGTCGCAAACACGAGGAACTGGCTCTTCTTGTGGGATAGTCCTTCGTCACCGTACAATGCCATTGGTAAACAATGTGACATAGACCCTTTCTCCGCTTTGATTTTTGCAACCATGGCGGGATCTTCTTTGGAGTATCGGCTCCAAAACAGATCAATGGCTGTGCATAGGTCGTGGCCCCCTGTGAGCACCCCCAACCGGTCTTCTTTAGCCAGCATGTGAAAAAAGTCATCTAGCCGAAGCACGGGGCGCAACTCCGCGAGATTGAGATCCACAAAGGATAGCTTTACATCGGCTTGAAGGCCCTGCGCCTCCAAAAGCTTAGGATCACTCTCGTGTCCGCTCTTTCGCAGTTTCTGTAAATGGTTGAGGAGCCGTGCGCTCTTCATGGTCACCTTGCTTCCCCCACAAATTTCCTGGTGTTCTTCAAAAATTGCCGAAGTCAACTGGCAGGTGATGCGGTTAGGTACCTCAAAGAGGAAAGAGATGGGAAGAGCTTGACCAAAACATTGTGTTTGTTTTCAACCACCATTTAAATGCGGGCAATGTGCAAGCCACATGAAACATAAAAATTAGAAATTGGTCCATTAAAGGTTACACCTGCAGTGATAGCCTTCGCAACCGCTTTGGCTACAGGCGTGAGCGACGTCGACGGTGATGGCTCACCTGCCCGGGCACCAAACAACAGCGGAGCTGGGGGTTTTGAACGTCTATAGGGACATGAAACTGTTGGGTGCAGAAAAGCTGTTGGGTGCAGAAAAGCAAATCTTGCGCAGATCTTTGTTCATCCCTTCCACCATGAAACTTTGAGCTCACGGCTACCTTCAGACCGTGTTCCGATCAACTATTGTGACCCCATGCGCATGCAGGCGAAGGGCGCAGAAACAATCCAACGACAAAAATCCACTTGCCTTTGGATAGTCTAAGCTAGTGAAACCCTTCGCGACATGCTACAACCCCCGAACAAATCCCAAATTGGTCTTTGACCATTTAGGCTCGGCAACCTATTTCTTGTCCTTTTTGCTTTTCACTTTCTTTTCTTTCTTGTCTTTCTTGAGTTTTGCTGGCGGCTTCGAGCCCTTCTCAGTAGCTCCAGGTGACTTCTCCTGCTCCCGTTTGTCCTTCAGGGCCTGCTTCAGCACGGTCCTGAGTTGGGGATGAGTGGCGGTGTTGTCAACCAAGAAAATAGATAGGCTGAGGATAGGGCTTTTTCACCTTGTTGGATTCCACCTGGGCCCTGTTGGTCCTGACTCAAGTGTGTTGAGCACAGAAAAAAGCTGTAGGATCACCACAGGATTTCTAGGTCAAGAGCTGTTTCTCGATCTCTGTAAACTTGGCGCGGATCAAGTCGGCCGTCCTTGGATGGAGAAGTGATTGAAGGTTTCAGGAAAAAATTGTAAGTAAATCTGATAACTCAGTCCCTGGCTTGCTGGATTCATCCGTCGATTTGCTGGCGTCAAAACTGGTTTTGAGTTCAGCAAGCTCATCATGGAGCTTCAGCATGTCCTTCCTGTACTGGCTGATGGATTTCAAAGACCTAAGAGCACATGCGTTTGAGCTGAATGCAGGTCGACTCTTCAATCGCTGAGGGTGCGACGTTGCCGCATCCTCATGAGTGCAGCCCTGCGCAAACCATTGTTTTGCCAAATACACTTGAAGAATCGCTTGAAGGATTGTTGCAACTAGATTGATCTTTTTAAAGCAAGTATAAGTAGAATCAAACAGTCCTTGAGCTTGCGTTCCACTTCTAAGAGCTTTGACTGCTCTTTGAGTAGTTCAGACAAGTAGGGCATGACATCATCAGGATCCTACACAAACTGCGAATCCAGCGC